ATATTACATATATGTATATATATATATATATATATATATATATATATATATATATATATATATATATATATATATATATATATATATATATATATATATATATATATATATATATGTGAAATTATGATAATAACAACAGTCAAATGTGACAAATTATGCAGGTCCGTTTCCCAACTTCAAAACTGCCTACAGTATAAACTATATAAACATCAGACAGACACAAAACCTGTATACTCGTCTACTAAAGTGAGAGGTTATTTATATTCGTCGGTGTTTAATGATTGCTCTTTCCGCTAAAGAGAAAATGACACGTATTATATGTATTGATTTGTTCCCATCAAGTGTTTTTTTGGTTTGTGATCAGATTGTGCAAAATGTCAGAGGTTTGATTTGTTTTGTCTTTGGGTCCGGGATTAACTGATGAGATTTTGGTTGAATAGAATAAATAGGTAGATGGTGAGTCAAGAACGGATAGAATTGGATCAGAGATTTTGGTTGAGTAGAATAACTGGTTGATCAGATAGATCAAGAACGGATAGGGAATTAGGTTCAAGAACGGATAGGAATTGATCAGATAGATAGAGATTTTGAGTAGATAAATAGGTAGATGTGAGTCTCGATTCCAGAGCTGGTAGATATAGAAGAAGTGGTTTTAGGTTTTAGATTATCTCTCTATGGCTCCCTTTTTTCGGCACTTCTATAACAGTGGAGGAAAGTAAACCCTTTAACCGTCCGTGGAAACTACAAAAAACGCCAGCCATCTTAACAGAGATTAGAATGATATTATTGGTATTACATTAGCTGTCGTTAGAGGATTAATTGATGGATGATAAGATACGGGTATAATGAGTTTGATGGGAGTAAACAGGTGCGGAATTTTGGTTAGAATGGGAGAGGATGGGAGAGATTTCTGAGGAGAGAGAGGGGTAGAAGTGTGCTGCAGCCTCTGAATATCTCCGAGTGGAAAGACGACTGTTTGGCAGATACTAGAAGACTCTCTCGTGAAAGGAATGTTGTACCGCTTCTCCAAATGCCATAAATGATTGTATCAATCAGGGGCCCAACGCTCACCATGATTATTATCATTATTGCAGTTATAATGATTATTATAGTCACTTCCATCATTATTGCTATTTTTATAATAATAATAAGAATAATGATAATTATGGAAGCAATAAATAATGGTTCTATATCTTGGGAAATAATGATAATAAGAGTATCACCAGGTTATATTAGCGTGGTGACAGTACACAACACCAGAATAAGGGACTGGCTGTTCTAAGGGTGCGTCCAGTTGGAGACAAATTGCAAACATTGTGGGGGACACAATTGAAAACATTCGGATACACATCTCCTGATATGTACGGGGACATGTCAGTTACAATGTTGAGAGACATGTCGGCAATAGGAGTCGACTTGGTGAAACTGTCCGCGTCATGTTGGTCTGTTGGTCAGTGGGAGGTCTCTGACTCCACCACCTCGTCCACACCAGGACTGCTAACATGTCGCCCAACAAATCCGTACCAACACGTCTACTACGATGTTCCTCAATGACTTATCAACCCACCTTGTCAGTCTTAATGTTCCCACCGTGTTTGTCACTGGTTTTGTCACCCTAACTCGTCCCTCCCTATACTGTAGCATGGCACCTTGCATGATTTTCAACTGTTTCAATATTCTTGTGCCTACTTCTGGTACGTTGAAGCTAACTCATTTTCCAAAGCTATTCTTGTTTCATATTCTTTATCTTGCTCATCATATCCCTGTTTTTCTTCACCTGAACAGACTCAACTTCATTTTATTCTTCTGTTTCTGTTTTCCTTAACATTATCTTTATTGGCAGTAATCCTTTTATGGGAAACTTTATACTCTTTGATTGTAATATTGTTATTATCATGGTTATTATTATGATTATTAGGTTTATCATTGCTGTTGTTGTTGATATTATTATTATTAATAAAGATATTATCCTTCTTACCAATTCTATTATTATTATTGTTGTCATTAATAGTAGTATTACGATCAGTAATATTATCATTATCATTGTCATTACAATTATTGTTTGCCTGTTCTTTTGCCATTATTGTTATTTTTTTTTCTAATTATCATTATTTTCATTACCATTATTATTTTTGTCAGTATTATGGTCGTTATCATTATCAATATCACTTTTATCATAATCGCCATTATTGTCATTATTATTGTCGCTATTATTATCATTATTATCATTATCATTATTGTCATTATTATCATTATTATTATTATTATTATCATTATCATTATTATTATTATTATTATTATTATTATTATTATTATTATTATTATTATTATTATTATTATTATTATTATTATTATTGCTCTTTTTATTGCTATTGTTATTATTGGTATTACTAATGGCATTGCTGTTGTTGTTAGATTATTATCATCATTATCATCATTATTATAATATTTCTTTTTTAAAGTTATTTTGATTATCATTGTTATTGATATTTCTATCATC